TATAGGAGATCATTTCCTGTTACGCTACACGTTGTTACAATTATTGAAAGTGGCTGATGATTTCTGTATGTAGGGTGTTCCACCTAAGGACAACTATTTTGCCAGCTGAAGAGGAGATGCCTTCGATAATGGCGAGTTTCAAAAAGTTCAACGATGAATTCATGGTGCAATATGAATAGCGCGACCATGAATTCATCGAGCAATATGAATAGCGCACGGTGGCGCGCTATTCGATAATGTAGAAGAAAAAAATTATGATTTCAATCTTTGTTTTCCATCTTTACTCATCTTTTTGTTGATGAATTCTCTCTCAAAATTGAACAATAACTAGTGTTTAAATGTGTCTTTTCCTCTTAGAAGTGTGTTTTTTCAAAAAAATATCTTGAAATTTTTTCATTTTTTTAAGTTTGTGTTTTTTTGGACATATTTATTTTCTTCTAAAAGCACCTTATTTTAAAAAGTACTAGCTTTTTAGAAATGCTTTTTGAAAAAATAGTCCTAGGGAGGAACAATTTGTATTTGACTAATTATTTTAGTATGATCAACAACATAATTAAGTTTTTGTAAGGGTCTGTTTGGAAAGCCACCTGGTAATTAGAATTGGTGTAATTACTAGGGTAGTAATTACCAGTCTAGTAATTACAATGTCTAGTAATTACACTGACATGTTTGGTTGTCACACTGTAATTACACATATCCTGTTTGGATGCCATAGTGTAATTACACATGTTCTGTGTTTGGATGCACAATTGCAATCATAAAATTATAATAAATTTTAAAAATAAAATTAATTATTTAAAATTTATACTAGACAAATAAGAAACTTTATAAATGACATTACATTAAATATTTAAGATATATTTTTTTTTTGAAAATATATTAATTAATAAATATATTTTCTTTAACTAATATTATGAAAAGATAATTGATTTATATTTTTTCATATTAATATATTTCAATTGAATTGATCGTAACAACTAAAAGTATGAAGTTTCTACGAACATTGTGAAATGCATGTTTGATAAAAAGAATAATATATAAATAAAATGTCATAAATTATTAAATGTTTGACAAAAATATAATCTATCAACTCTAATTAAAATATGATGTGTAATGTAGATTCAATATTACTAAAACAAATGAAACTGAAAATATAACATAAGTTATAAATTCAAAACAAAAATTTTAACATAATACTCTTATAACAATTTTCAACATAGCAATAAATATAATTTATTTTTATCTTTTCTTAATAAAGAAAACATAAGTCTATAACCTTACTTAACAATAAATTCCATTTTAATTTAAAAATTAGAATATAATAAAATTATGCTAATGAGAAAATAAGCATGGCATAAAGAAATAGATAATACGAAAAAATTACATAGAATCATGTAAAAGTAAAATTGAGAATAAGAAGAAAATGAAATATAATAATATAAAATAAAAAATAAACTTTTACAAATTTTTAGAATAATAAAATTTAAAAAAGAACTTAAAATAATAGAAGTAAAAAAAATTAAAATAGAAATTAAAAAAAAAAAAAGTAATCTGGTGGTAATTACACTATGTAATTATCAGCAATTCACAGTCTCTGCCTGTGAATTGTAGAGTGTAATTACCTCCTGCCAATTACACCAATTACCTGCTGACCAAGTAATTACATGTCCTTTCAAACAGGACAAGACAGTGTAATTACACCAAATTCAATTATCAGGATGTCCTTCCAAACAGGCCCTTAAGTGTTTTTTTCTTAGAAATGTTCTTTAAAAACGTACTTTTGAAGAAAAAATAATTAGTTTATTAAAAACAGCATCTGCTGTTTTTTAGAAAATATTTATTTTCTTTCGGAAGCTTGACAAATTTATCATTTTTTTTTTTAAAAAAAAAAGCACTTTTAGAAATAAATATACACTTTTAATCTCTCAACAATTGAGCCAAGAAAGTCAATAATTTTTTTTTTATCTTTGTTCTTTTTAACAAAAATCCACATCAAACAATATTTCCCACTATAATATGGTTAAGTTTGCTTTATACACGAAGCTTCCTCTATTGTCTTCATTCTGTTATTTTAATTTCGTTAATAAGTACTTTAGCTGTCCCAATTTATGTGACACGTTTTGGATTTCGAGATTCAAATAAGTTTATCGTAAATTTTTCATATATCTTTTAATTATTTTGAATTGCTTATTATTGTGACTTATAGTACTTTTTATGTAGTTAACAAATATAAAATTTCATTTCAAAAAATTGAAGATTTCTTGTGTAAATTTTTGATTAAACTTAAACTGTTTAACTCTCGAAAAATAAAAAATACCACACAAATTGAGATAGAGGGAGTATATACTTTTTCTTTTTATCTCCTTCCTAGTATATTTACAGACTTGTTAAATTGAGAATGAGTTATTTAGTGATTAATTATTTCGAGTATAGTTATTTCATTTTTAATATGAGATAAAAATAATACTATAATTTTGAGATATGCTATTTTTTTTTATCAAACATGAAATAAATTTATCTTAAATTAATGGGAAAATGCATAAGTATCCCCCAGCCTATGCCCGAAATCCCAGAGACACACCTAACATTTACTAAGGTCCTATTACCCCCCCGAACTTATTTTATATGTAATATTCTACCCCTTTTTGGCTTACATGGCACTATCTTGTGGGCCCAACGTATGTTGACAAAATTTTCAAGGATAGTGCCACGTAGGCAGGGCCGGCTCTATGTATAAAAAATAAGGCATTGGCCTTAGGCCCCCAATATTAGGGGGCCTCAATTTTTTACCAAAAATAAATTATGTGTTAATTTTTTAAAGAAAAACATTAATTATTTATGACAAAAAGTATATATTTAAAATTATTATTTTATTCTCTTCAAACCCATTCAAATAGAAGAAATCAAGAAAATATTGTTTTATTTTCTTACACTCTCTCTACTAATACTCACATTATTTTCTTTTTAACTCCTTTTACACTCTCTTCTTTAAATTGTTGATAAGTTAGAGTAGTATTCTGTCAAAAATCAATTAATAGTCGAAAAGTGTTGAACAAATTGAATTGTAAATTCTTTTTCCATTTCTTCTTAGATTTTCAAGCATTACAACAACCATAGTAAAATGTGGGGTAACCAAATTATCAACTTCATCAAAGCTATGGTTCTAACTCTTATATTTATTTGAAATTTGTCAACTTATTACTTGTAGAACTATGTTAACAATTCATATAATGATTGCCGGAGTAAAATAATATTTTTCAATGTTGAATTAATAAAATCTTATTTAAAACTAATAATTGAAAAAGAAATCGAATAAATCATTTATATATATAAAAAAATATTAGGTAATACTTTGCATTTAAAAATGTAAGAGAAATAAATTTTAAATAAATGCATGTGAAGTTTATTTAGATTTTAGGCCTCTAATTAAGATTTCGCTTTAGGCCTCCGATTACGTTGAGCCGCCCCTGCACGTAGGCCAAAAAGGGGTAGAATATTATAGATAAATTAAGTTCGGGGGGTAATAGGACATTAGTAAAGGTTAGATGTGTCTCTGGGATTTCGGGTATAGGCTGAGGGGTACTTATGCATTTTCCCTAAATTAATTCCAAAATTAGCTATTCATTATTTCTTTTACCAAACGAGCCCTTAAAGTTTCTAGTCTTCATGTGTCACGACCTCTTATTCAATCTTTATATAAAGACAGAATGGATATGCTCTGTGTTAAACTATAAATAAATAAATATATATATATATATATATATATATATATATATTATTTAAAAAAAAATTACCTCACTTAATTTTTATCACTTCAGATCAAACCCATTAGAAAAAGAAAAAATATATAGTTACCCAAATATTTCTACCATATTTATCAACTCTCCCTATAGTTTGAAAGAATAACATAGTGTTGCACTAATTAATAATTTTCTATCAGATTTTAAGTTAGATACATAATTTTTGCCACTAGATATATGAAATAGGGAGAGATGCGAGCGAGAGAAGAGGAAAGAGGAGCGAGATAGGAGGGAGGCAAGCGAGATAGTCTATGTATTTCAAATACGTGTGAATCACACTAGATATACTCTAGATACATTTTGAAATATAGATACTTAGAGAGAGAAGCAAAGCGAGAAAGAAGAGACACATTCCGAAATATAGATACTTAGGGAGAGAGGCAAACGGCCATAGAAGAGAAACGAGCAAGAGAATCAGATACATGTGAATATACCTGAATATCGTGTACAACAACTATTACAACATACCTAGTGGAATTCCACAACTGGGTCTGGAGAGGGTGCACGCATACCCTCTACCCTCCCCAGACAGAGGTGAACCCAGGATTTGAAAAATTTGAGTGCACCAATATTAAGCTAAAAAAAGTTATTAAAAAGAGGTCAGACAGAGGCAAACCCAAGATTTAAAAATCCGGGTACACCAATATTAAGCTAAAAAAAGTTATAAAAAAAGAGGTTTACTTGGGATTGAGCCCTGGTCATTTAGATGGATTTGTTAGATTATACCACTGGTACAAAGCACCGTTTCATACTTTTTATGGGGCACTATTAAATATATTTAGTTTTTGTCAGTTTTTCAATATAGATATACATATGATTTTATTCAGAAGTTAACGGGTGCACGTGCACCCTCATAATAGCATGTGGGTCCGCCTCTGTCCCCAGACCCTACTTGTGAAATTCTATTGGGTATATTATTGTTGTTGTTATACACCGTATCTAAGTGGATTCACATGTAATTGTCTCTCTCGCTCACTTCTTTCCCTAAGTATCTATATTTCATAATATATATATTAAATAAAAACTTGTGTGAAGAAAAATAATTTACATTGTATTATTTGCCTTTAGAAAAAATTAAATCCCTCTTTTAATCAACTTTATAAATATTTAAAAAAAATTAAAAAATATTACCAGGAATCCTTTTTAAACGAATATTACTTATACAAAATTTAATATAGGCATAACTCAGCCTTTCCACCTCCGATTTTTCTCTCTTCCTTGCTTTCCTTCCTTCCACCGGAATGAATCAGAAAACATGGCCGCCGACCAAGTCCAATTCCGACGGCCTTCGTCGTTTCACCGCTTTCCCTTTCATCAGAAAACAGACCCATCTTCAAAATCGTCCATCGGAAAACCCCTTTTTCAATCACTCCAAAAAGATCACTCCAACAACTCCTTCATCATCATCCAATTCTAGTTGTAGTAGTAGTAGTAATCAGTACTGCTACAATCAGGACTTTTCTCAGCTTCCCTACGATATTATCTTGAAAATTGCTGCTACTTTTTCGCTGTCGAATGTACGGGCATCTTCTCTAGTATGCAAGTCTTGGTGCGATGCACTTCGACCGTTGAGAGAATCTATGGTTTTTCTCAGATGGGGTAAGAGATTTAAGCATGGACGAGGTGGGGTTAAGCGTAATTTGAGTAAAGCCCTTGATTCTTTCCTTAAAGGAGCTGCTCGTGGGTCTACACTAGCTATGGTGGATGCTGGGTTACTTTATTGGGAGATGGGGAAAAGAGAAGAAGGGATTGGTTTGTATAGAAAAGCTGCTGAACTTGGTGACCCTGCTGGTCAGTGCAATTTGGGGATTTCTCTCTTGCAAGGTATTCAGATTGTTGCATTATCTTCTTTTTTTTTCGTAAAAACATAAACTTTGATGCTCAATAGCTAAATTATACATGGAAATCTAGATTCAAGGTCGGAAGAATCGGAAACAGGCTCGAAAACGGAACCACAACAGCTTGGGTGAACTTCCATCACCAACTGAGATGGTCAAAGACTCTGTTAACTAGTAATAGTTACTGCCTTTCGCTTTTTAGGGTGGAATTACTTCATAATCATGGCCAACTATGGTGTCGGGCTAGGTTGCACGCACCTTGACTATTTGATTAAGTCCATGCTAACTCATACTAGCAAAAGAAAACGTAGGGAGAGGGATAGAATCACTACACTATCAAGGCCAACTATAGTGTCGGGCTAGGTTGCACTCACCTCGACTGTTTGGTTAAGTCCATGCTAACTCATACTAGCACATGTATTGGTGCGGATTATGTGCTACATACTTCCTTCGTTTACTTTTACTTGCAAGGTATTCAGATTGTTGCATTGTCTTTTTATTTAGAGTTAATAGTCAAAAACATACTTTAGATAGGAAAAGAGAATTAACTGAATAGTTAAGGTGTGTTTTGTATAAATAATTCGTGATTGTTAGGTAGAAAACTCAAAAAATCAGGATTAGGTGTGATTTTGATCCTTCACCCTTCTTTTTTTATTTTAATGACGGTGGTGCCGTGGTAGGTTGCAGACACTTCGACTATTTCATTAGGTGACTGGTAATTCTGCGATACTGAGAATTGAACTTAAGGCCTCATGGTTCTTCTTGACCATTAGGTGCTGAGATTGTTGCATTATTTTATTTATGCTTAATGTGTTCAGTTGCTTCTGTGGATCGGATGAATGTCTTTTGTTGGGGCTGTTGACTAAGTGAAAGAACTAGCTTTGCAGTGTTGATAGCATCATATTTTCTGGACTCACGATCTATGGTCCCTGAGTTATATTCATTCAATTAAGTCTAGGCCTAGGAATTCAGCTGTGTTAGAAGCAATATAGGCTTTTAGGGTTCAGAAGGGAGCGTGAGTTAGTTAGCCTGTAAGTTGTGCATAATAGATATTTGTATCACACTAAGCTGAATATGTGGAAGATAGCAACCTTAACTGCGTGAATTAATGCTAACGAATAATGAGGAGGAAGTTGATAGCTTTGAAAGGTTTAGTGAGTAAGCTCCTTGCCTTTTTCTTCCTACTCTGACTGACCTTTCCTTTTGTGCTTCTTTTCTATTTTTTATTTGATGTGGCTGACTTGTTTTGGAAGTGTGTGCTTTTTATGTTAAAAAACATTTGCATCTGTCAAAATATTAATGTTCGTTCATGTTAGTATTCTTTTTGCTCTTGTTGTTATTGTTTTTTAGAACCTTGTTGCCTTGCTCACAATTGTTGACATTGCTCCTACCAAATTGATAGAAATAGATATATTCATGTGAAATCATTGCCGTCTTAACCTTTTTGACATGGCTCCTACGCAGTTGGCTCATATGCAATTGTTGTGAAATCATTGCCGTCTCAAATCATTGTCTGCCCTGCCTATTACTGGCGAGGCGAGGCAACGTCGAAAAGGCGATGTGGCGAGGCAACAGAGGTGTCGCCTTTTGTAAAAAAAAACACAGACTCAGCAATTTAAAACTTAAATACATAAAATTAGGGTTTATTAGGCGTCGACTTCATGTTAATCTTCTTCTCCTTCTTTCTTCTCGTTACTTTTTCTTTCTCCTCTGTTTCAACTTGAGCAACTGTCTTTCTTCTTTCTTCTCGTTCCTTCTTCTTCCTCATTAACCAGTAAGACAGTTTTTTGGTTCTTTCTCAATCTGCAATCTGCCCAGTTTCTTCTTTCTCATTCCTCTGTTTAGTATTTTCTTGGCTCATGAAGTATTGAGTCGTTCAAGTTCTAAACTTTTAGTATCTTCTATCTACTTAGTTTTTGAATTGATTGAGATTTTGGTTATTTATATATGCAATTAAATATTTTAAGTTTTTGGTATTAATTGACGCCTCACTTCAAAAAGGTGAGCTCCTCCTGCGAGGTGAGGCAGATGGTCTTATGTCGCCTTCCGCAGACCCTTGTCACCTTTCTGTCCAAAACACTGACTCTTATCTTCTTATGTAGTGAATCCTCTGGACCCCGAGGAAGCTGTTAAATGGCTTTATAAAGCTTCCGTTGCTGGTCATGTTCGTGCTCAGTACCAGCTTGCACTTACTTTACATAAAAGTCATGGTCCGAAGAGAAATCTCCAGGAAACGGTATGAAAAGTGTACCTCATTTAAGTTATTTAGTTAGTTTCAACTGTCTGTTTATATTGCAGAAATATGCCTAATGAGAACTATACTTAAAAGGTTTCCTCTTAATTGCATAGGCAAAGTGGTACTTGAGGGCAGCAGAAGGTGGATATGTCCGTGCTATGTATAACACAGCATTATGCTACTCGGTGGGAGAAGGTTTAATGCAGTCTCATGAGTTAGCAAAAAAATGGATGAAGAGAGCAGCTGATCGAGGTCATAGCAAAGCCCAGCTTGAGCATGGGTTGAGTCTGTCTTCAGTAAGTAGTGCCTAAATTGCTCCTCCACTCTTTTTCTAGTTCAATTTCCTCATACATAAGTATAAGCGTGGAATAAAACCCAAATCTCATTCCTTTTTATTCCCAGTAGCCAGTGAACATGTAGTATTATTCGGAGATGAGTTGAAAATATTGTCAGTTAGGATTTATATAGCGGAACCCAACTTATCTGGGACTGAAGCATAGTTGTTGTTTGTTTGTATATTGTGAACTTTCAACCACTCGTGCTCACCTTGTTCTTTTTTTTCGGGGTACATTTGAAAAGACTAAATAAACTAATTAGTATCTTTCATAAACTACTTGGATTGAACCTGCTAGGAGAAGAGACTCCATTTCCAACAACTTCCCGGATTATCAAATCTCTCCTATATGTTTGTGACCTTCATTTTCTAGGAAGTCAGCGGAGTTGTTTGCCTCTCTCCAAATATGAACAATAGAAGCCTTACTAGTTTCTAGCAAAAATTTACGGTCTTCAATAAGAACCCAAAGAGGATACTGTATAAGCTGGATCTCAAGTAGACAATCTGTTTCCACTTGTAGTTCTTTATATCTCATTTATTCTGCCTCTGTAGTTAGGCTTGAAAGTAGATTTCATAACCACTCGCGCTCACATTGAACAGGATGGGGAGAGGATGCAAGCTGTGGTATATCTGGAACTTGCTGCTCGCGCTGGTGAAGCTACAGCTCATCCCGTGAAAAATGTTATACTTCAACAGATGTCCACTTTTTCTCGAGATCACGCTATGCTTCTTGTCAATAGCTGGCGCACTTTACCTTCATCGCATTGATACCTTATTATCGTCAACTTCATACAGCTTAATGTATGTATCACTTAACTTCTTGAAGTAATAAAAGTGTAATATAAGAATTCATTTTCCCCTGCAGTTACATGTTTCCAACTTCTGTGCTAATGCAATAACTGTTGGAAGAGAGTTTGAACAGCTGACTTAAAGGTAAGTAGATGTTCATCGTAAACTCGACGTGACATTCATGTTCTTTCGATGATGTTGTTACATCGTTGAGATCGTCTTTTGAAGTCTCTATCAACGTGACATGCCACACAGGCATATCGCAACATATTTTAGCTAGAAAACACTCTCTAAACTTTTGAATTTCTCAAAAAAAACATTTGGAGTTTTTGCACTTTCTTCTTCCCATTTGATGATATACTTCATATTTGAAGGTATTATAGGTCTAGAAATAATTTAAATATTTACTACTCTCTCTGTCCCAATTTATGTGACACTTTTTGTTTTTCGAGAGTCAAAAAGTTTAAGTTTGACCGGCAATTTGCGCATGAAATATTCAATTTTTTTAAAATGAAATTTATATATTTGTAAACTACGTAAAAAGTATTATAAGTCACAATAATTGATAATTCAAAATGTTTAAAAGATCTATGAAAAACATACGGTCAAAAATAGACTTGATTGAATCTCGAATTTCGAAAAGTGTCACGTAAAATGGGACAGAGAGTATATATTATGGATTGGAAACACACATTTTCAATTAATCAAGATGTAATATGCTTAGTAAAATATCATAAGGACCAAATCAAAGTTTAAGCATTTTTAATTAACTATCTTGTTTGTTATTGCTTGTTGCTTGCATTTATCATTTTGTTTGCCTTTCTATTTAGTTATTTTTACCATAAAATTACTATTTATTTATTTGAAAATGACAAGGGATCAAATCATATTGCTTGTTCTTTTGTTGTATAGACAAAAAAATAAAAATAAAGGAGCATTTTCATCTTTTTCTTCCAAGTGGAGAGATTTAATTTCTTCATACTTGAAGTTCAAAAATATAATGACAAGAGAAAACTACATTTTCACAGTAGTCTATTTAAATGCACATTAGAGATTCAATTTCTTCATACTTGGTTTTTCTTCTTTTCAATCTATATCAGATCCTCCATTACTTCTTCGTCAACACCTTTTCGCTTTGGTATTTTTTGCCACAAAAAAGAGCTTTTGGAATTTAGGGTTATATTTCGCTTGGTAAGAAAAAAGACAAATGAAGATCGAAATAGAAGTAATCTCCAAGGAAACATTAATCAAGCCATGTAGTCCAACTCCAATCGAATTACGCCATTATAGTCTTTCATATCTTGATCAAATAATTCCATCTATCTTCATGCCCCTCATTTATTTTTACCCTGCGAATGACCTAATTTCCAACACAGAGCGTTCAGACAAGATAAAGTTATCGCTATCTCAAGCCTTAACCAAATTCTACCCTCTAGCAGGGCGTGTCGTGGACAACCTATATGTTGATTGCAACGACGAGGGTGTCCCCTACGTTGAAGTTATAGTGAAGTGTAACCTCGCGGATATAATTTCCGATCCAATTCCTAATGAACTCAACAAATTTATTCCTTATGAATTGGATGATGTGAAAGATCTTGGATTAGTCGTACAAGTGAATTTTTTCGAATGTGGAGGAATGGCTATTGGCATAGGCATTTCTCATAAGCTAGCTGACGCTGCGTCATGTTTCATGTTTATCAACACGTGGGCATCCATTGCGCGTTGTGATTATGATGACACGTGTCATTTCTCCCCCTCTTTTGACTCTTCAACACTTTTTCCACCCAAGGACGCATCCCTAGTTAGGGATGCATGCTTGGAAATTCGAAAGGAAAACATCGTGACCAAAAAGTTTGTGTTTTCTAACTCCAATATATTAACTCTCAGAGATGAATATGCGGATCAAAGGATGAAGGGCAGTGTATTCGAGAGAATAGGACAACGCCCTTCGAGGATTCTAGCTTTATCAGCGTTTTTGTGGAGCCGTTTCATGGCGACCGTTCATTCCGAAAGGGACCCGGACAAGATTTATGCGGTGACACATACAGTCAATTTGCGGGGGCGGACAGATCCGACCCTGCATGAATTTTTATTCGGGAACATAATGCGGTCTGCCCTTGTGGTCCCATTTTTCGATAAAGGTAGTGAAAACGAAGTTTTTGAGTTCATGAATAAAGTAAGAGAATCTATACAAGAAATTAATAATAATTTTGTGTCACAATTCAAGAAAAATGATCAACAACATTTGAATTTGCTACAAGAAAGAGCAAACGAAAAAAGAAAAGGGCACATGGAATTGCTTTGTTTTTCAAGTTTGTGTAAATTTCCCCTTTATGAAGCTGATTTTGGGTGGGGCAAGCCCATTTGGGTCGGGTCGGGTCGACTCGCTACGAAGAATATTATTGGATTTATGGATACAAAATTAGGTGATGGAGTGGAAGCTTGGGTGAATCTCGAAGCCCATGACATGGCTAAATTCGAAGCTGATAAGAAATTGCTAGCCTTTTGTAGAAACAAGATATGAAAGTCATTTTTTGATGTTTTATTTATACTGATTTTCTCTGTATTGTTACAATTTTATCGAGTCTTTTTATAGGGATCGATTTCTTTCTTAAACCAAGTTTCGTGAACTAGACAAGTTTTGTATCTCTACTTTCTTGTAATGAATTGTCTTTCGTGAACAATTAATCACAATTTGAATTTGAATAGGTTTTGATTTTTAGAAAAGATAACATATTACATTCTGATTAAATTATTTATGCATATAAATTAACAGAATTACTACAAATATAAAATATACGTCGTCAAAATTTCTGTCAAATTTATATATGGCTTCATCCCTATCCATAAATCAACATTGTAAAAAAAATGTTTATACAAGAAAATCGGTTATAAAATAATTTTTTAGAACTATCAACTAATTAAGATAAATTAACGTGCTATAATAAGTTAAAAACTACATTGATCATATTGAAAAAAAATTATGTTGTGCCAATGCATATAATTTTAAATTCAAAAGATACTTATTGGAACAAGGAATATGAATGATTAGAAAAAGGCTTCAAGCCTGCAACCATCAACCAATTAGATTTATACATTATAAATTAACAACTACTGACCAGACAAGGATAAATCGTAAACAATATCTTTACCCTCATAATGTAGAAATAAAATTACGTATATCTTATCTTCTTCATATTCCATTTTTGAGGTGTTATTGGGTATGATCATCCCGATTTTTGAGATGTTACTGAGGATGTTGTTGTTAATGATATTTATCTTCTTCACATTATGACACAATGCTTTTAGATCATTAAATTATTTTATTATTGGAGCTCTCATACTATATTAAGTAAAAATAGCTAAAAGGTTTTTATAAATAAATGCTAGTCTCAATTGATATGATCACCTTTTTGCATAGTTTTTGATAGGACTAAACAACAACCACCACCACTTATTCAGTATGATTTCATAAGTGAAATTTAGAGAGAAAATGATGTATAATTTTTATTCCTATCTTTTTTGGAGTAGAGAGATTGCTCCAATAGACTTTCGACTCAAAAGAAAAAAGAAGAATTTCTATCAGGGTAGCACAAAAATATGATAGAAAAATAACAAGATACAAGGCAAATGACAAGCGACAAATAGAATACACATTGATGAAAAAGAAGCTGAGTGATTACTAATTAATAACACTATTAATTATAAAAAAAAACGGAGAGGATTTTAGCCCCAAACAAATGTGACAACACTCGACTAACTACTAATCTTCAAACCTAATCTTTACCCTCTACACCTTGTTATCTAGGGTCATGTCTTAGTTAAGCTAAAACTACACCATATTCTATCGACTATCTAACCACCTCCTCTCAAATCTTCTTCGGCGTATCTCTACTTCTCTTACTCCTTTTATATATATGCATCTCAGGGCAATGTGATGATATTCCAGTTAGTTGTGATTTCCATTAAATGAAAATAAAGACCCTTATTTTAGTGTATAAAATTCAAGTTTTCTAAAATTTAATTTGACCAATAAAGGCATTTATAAGTTGAATTTAAGTAACGATAATAAGAAAGACTAGAGACCCCTTTTTATGGATATATAAAAAAGGCATAAAAGTTAAAGTATTAATCGGAACTATAGGTGAGATTTATTCTTGACAATGTAGGTTCAACAATAACAATAATATATCGAGTGTAATTTCACAAGTGAAGTCTAAAAAAGGTAAAATATATACGTTAGTTTTATCCATATCTTTATGACATGAAGAGACTGTTCTGATAGATCTTGATCATATAAAATATCTACTCCAAGGACATGTTTTGTGATTCTATTAATTTAACTAAGTTTTTATAATTATATATGAAATAGTCGTAAGAGCCACAAGTATGTTACAACTCAATTATCAGTTATATTCTTCCATATAAAAAATCTATTGCTAAATTTATTTTTCTTATCATACTATAAGAATTTTCACCAGATGGATGAATTTTTTTCTACGGTTTACATAAAAATATGTTCTAAGTGTGACAAAAATATTCCTTTATTACTCAAAAAAAGCATAGTCACTACTTGTGTCCAACTAGAAATGTACAAAATATTATTTTTTTTCTTACACATATAATGGTATCTATCTTTAGATAATCAATAAATTTTAGGTGAAAAATAAATTAACAGACTAATCAATACAACTTATGAGAGGACTTATCAATATTAATATTTCAACATATATACCAACTAAAATATAAGTAAAATCATTCATGAGATATATTAATAAGGAAATACAAATATATATTTTTTTTAAAAAGCATTCTATAGACATGTACGAGATCTTCTTACCATAAGTCATATTCTTTTACTTTTTACATGAGAAAGTATTAAGTAAAACAATTAAATATAGTACTTCATTTTTTGGTCATAAATCTGGCAAAATTAATTTAATTTCCAAAGCATATTATATGGGAAATAATTTACATAAAATCAGCCTATAGAAATATAGTGAAAATAATTGAATTTCCAAAACATATAATATAGAAAATAATGTATATAAAACCAGCCTATAGACATATATGAGATTTAGGCATTTAGCTACCATAACCATATCTTTTCAAGGTAAATTACATTTTTTCAATGTAAACACTCGATGCAGATAAGTACTCACCTTTGACATGAGAAGGTAAATTTTGTCATGTATTCATTTTATCTTACATCTGCTTATTCTAAAATATTTACTCACTAAAGTACTTCTCCATAGTTCCTCCCTTACTAGTTTCGTCTGCTACAATATTACCTGCAAATTGCATACACCATGAAACCTCATCATGAGTATTACTACACTATAACAAAGACGATCTTTAACCACGAAAATATTAGCTACGACAAAAAATTAATCACTTATTTATTTACTTTCCGTGACAAGACACGAAGCAACAGTGTAACCTAAAGGGTTATTCAGGTTTTGAAATATTATTTAACAAAAAGGAAGCGGAAAAAACTAATGTCTAAACGAACTTAGACCACAAGTCTCAAATGTTTTTTTTTTTAAAACTCTGTTCGTAGTCAAAGTGCATCACATAAGTTGGGATGACATGACTAATATTTTGTCATAGTTGTCGTCTATGTTACTCATACTCTCCAAAATGTTGTCACACCCATGTTGGATCCTAAAAAATACACTACTTTTAAAGGAAGCATAGGTCATTGTACCCGACTCTTGAGTGCTCAGGATCCAACACACCTATAAACATTTTTTGAAGAGTTCGAGCAACATATGTTGTTGTTGTTGTACTTGACTCCTTAGTGCTCAGGATCCAACACACACCTATCGGCATTTTTTGAAGAGACAGAGCAACATAGATCATAGTACCCGACTCTTGAGTTCTAAGGATCCAACACACACCTATAAACATTTTTTTGAAGAATTCAAGCTACATATGTTGTTGTACTTGACTCCTGAGTGCTCAGGATCCAACACACACCTATCGGCATAACTCCTAAGTGCTCAGGATCCAACACTCGCATATCAACATTTTTTGAAAAGTTCGAGCAACATAGATTGTTGTACCTTAACTCTCGAGTGTTCAGGATCCAACACACACCTACCGGCATTTTTTAAAGAGTCCGAGCCACACAGGTTTAGTACCCTACTCCTAAGTTCTCAGGATCCAACACGCACTTATCGATATTTTTGAAGAAATCAAGTACAATAGATTATCATACCTCGACTCTTGAGTGCTCAGGGAATTGAGAAGGCAGCTTGAATCCTTTTGCAATCAACCAAATAAGTGAAACCATAAGCTAAGTTCTTCAATGTAGCATCATGTAGTTCTGCTGAGGAAGTTGCAGTTGCATCTGTGGAAAAGAAGACTCTAAACCCTCTAACAAATGCCTCTCTGGCTGTGGTCTCACAGCACAGATTGGTCATTACTCCAGTCACTATTACCTCCTTTATCCCCATTTCCAACAATTTCTCCTCTAAGTTTGTATCTGCAAAGGTATGCAAATATATTCCTTATAAAGTTACCTTTTCAGATAAGGTTAGATTCAAGTCTAATGTTTGCTCGTATATTGAATAACTTTACGTACAAAACATTAGATTGTGATCTAACATGTACAATAATTTGCAAAATATAAGATTGAGACATTTTCGGTTTACTCAAAAAAAATCCTTAGACAGTACTTTAAAAGGTCCATAAAATCATTTGCTAAAAGAGGTAATGGTCAATAACACACATTAACTATCAATTTTCTCGTGAGTTTCATACGTCAACTATTCCTTGTTATCTTTACTGACCCAAGCTCTTTGTATTAAAAGACACATGAATGTTGAGTTGACCAAGTAACACCCAGTTATTTACCAAAACAGACCTCAACTATTTGTTGTTCCTTGTCCTACCTAAACAATATTGATATTTTAAGTACGAAAAGAAAAGAACTTATAGTTGAGGTGTGTTTCGATAAACATTTGGTAATAGTTCATATGAAAAACTTATGAAACTCGAAAAACCAAATACTTCAGGTATGTTTTTTGACCTTTCACTTAAAATGGACAATATCTAGTTGAGGTCTCAAATTGGCATAATACATAAGCATGTCATTTATCTCGACCTCAGTTAGCATCTACGTCCAATAATTTTGTGTGCACACAAGAAGACACTTAAACTTGTATAAAATTGAATAAATAGACACATAATACAAATCAGTTTCCATGTAAGACAAGTGTATTTCATGTGAATTACAATGTAGGATACACGTATGTAGTAGGACGAGCGTATTTCAGGTGAATTACAATGTAGGATGTGTTTATCTATTTATTCAATATTATACAAGTTTAAATGTCTACTTGTCTAGACATTTGTATATTATGCCAATGAAATTCACAAAATGTGACAGTTTAATTATGTTTTTTGACAACTTTTGGCTAAAACAACCAGCTAAAATTTCATCAAAAAGTTATAAGTAAACAAAAAAAAAGTAACTACAGAGTACAGAGCAACCAGAAGAAAATGACTGTAAAAACAAAATTAGTGGAAAAAAAAAATACCTCTGAAGGCACTGTAAGTGTGTTTTTCGACCACCAAATCACCGTCTCTCCGATCTAACTCCGGTATAAGTTCAGCTTCAACGGTTCCATCTCTGATAATATCACCGTTCCACCACTCGTAAATCAAGCCGTAATCCTCCGGTGACTTATGACGGTGGCGCGTGAATATCACCGGCACGGAATTCCGCCGGCAGAGATCGATTGTGGTTTTGATTGCTGGTAGAATCGGTTTACCCATGGAGTAGAAGTAGTTCTGCATATCAATCACCAATAGAACAGCGGATTTTGGGTCTGGATCTCGTTTTCGGGTCTCGAATTTTTTGTATGATGAAGAAGAAGCCATTGTTAGAGAATTTTTGTGCTCTAAACAGGGAAGTGAGTTTATCCACTTTCTAGTTTCCAGTACCTTCTATATGCTACTGATGTTTCATTTATTTATTTGAGTTTTTGTATATGAACCATATGATGTACGAGTTTTTTATTTGAACTATCACCAATTATTTATTAGAATACATCTTAATTATCCGTTGTTCTCACTTCTTTATCTAAAATGTATCATTGTTTAGACTTTAGACAGAAAAAATGAATAATGGATAATTGATATGTATTTTGATTAATAGTTGATAATAATTCATATACTTCCTATGTCCCAATTTATGTTGACACATTCAGAGTTCAACATTTAAACAAATTTATCTTTGATCATAAATTTTTCATATATATATATATATTTTAAATATTTTGAATTGTCAATTGTTGTAACTTATCATACTTTTTACATAGTTTAAGAGCATTTTTTAAATCTTTTTTCGTACTTTCTTTAGTAGTTGCTATATCTCCTTTGCTTCTATAGTCTTTTTTAATCATGTGTTACACAAGCCATCGGAAAAAGTCTCTCCATGAGATAGGAATAAAATTTGCATATATTTTGTCTCTCCATACTGCACCTATTCAACATAAAATTTATTATATAGCAACTGAAGGCCAAAAGAGCAAGGGTAGAAAACAGCAAGTCAATCAGAGGAAGGATAATAAGAGTCTTGTATTATGAATTTGCTTTGGTCCAAAAGCATGCTCTCAATACATACAATACAAACATATATGTATTTGCATTGTTGCAACATCTTGTCATAACATGAAAATTCAGACCTAAATAACAATAAACCATCACAGTTTATTGATGGTTCTTGGATAATGTTTCATATCCCATCAAATTCTCTTTGTTATTATCTGCAAAAAATGGGTTATGGTGGGATAACAGGGCATCATAATTTCGCGCATGCCCGCGAACAAAACAAGCAAAAACAATTTTCAAATGAAGATATTGTTGCGCCACAGGCTTACACGAGACCCCTCTGTTTGAACACTTCGAGCATTGAAACTCCAATTTTCGCGGGAGATTCACATACTGTAACCCCAGCTTCTTTTAGTGCCTTGATTTTGTCTTGGGCTGTTCCCTTTCCCCCCGATACAATAGCTGCAATTCAAAAAATTCAGGATTAAACTATTTCTCTAGGCGTGACAGCAGGTAAACTGAAGCATCTTTTTATAGTTCATGCAATATTCAATCATCGACATGATAATGCAGCAAAGCAACACAGTAGAAGAGTGACCATTCCCCTTCCTGGTAATTTCCAAGAAAAGATACTAACGGGAATGGGACGAGGAAAAGAGAATGAACCCAGGTATCACAAAAGTATCCTCAATAATTGTGGATATCAATAATTAGCAGATAGTTTCCATTAGTATCAATAACAAGCAATTCTGATGCATTCTTTTATTTTCTTCCATTATTTTTGGTTTGAGGGACCATGGAAATGGAAAGCATAGTTCATTATTCACATAGAATCCCATCATATGACTTTCACCAAATATAGGTATATAAGAAATTCGACAATAAAACTTCTGATCAAACATTATAAAATGACAAAAAAAAATATGGAGGGGAGATTTCTTTTTAAGGGCACGTAGAACAACATAAACTAAACATGGAACATCATCCCCTTATACTTCTTTGTATGTAACTAGAATGGATTTAATAAAATTCCAGATCATTTGGTTAGCCCAGGGTTGGGGGAGGTGGGGGGTGTAATCAAAAGTTGAAATATTTTATGAACAACAGTACCTCTAATAAAATTCCAGATCATTTGGTTAGCCCAGGGTTGGGGGAGGTGGAGGGTGTAATCAAAAGTTGAAATATTTTATGAACAACAAGTACCTCCAGCATGACCCATTCGCCGTCCAGGGGGAGCAGTCAATCCAGCAATAAAAGCAACTACAGGCTTTTGAGTTCCACTTTCCTGTTCAGTAGCAAAATACATAAGCAATAGTGAAAACTAAACATTATTCAGCACAACTAAAAATGCTATCAACCTCAGAAACATGGCTAGGAACAGGATGTTTAGAAATTTCTGACATGATAATAGGCCAAAGTTCTGGATATCCTCTCAAAAATAGAAGCAGCTAAAGGAGCATCTTGTCCTTTACTTTAGGGGCAACAACATTAACTTTCTTAAAACTCCCATATAGGAATCATGGATCAGTGCAAGCAGATGCAGGATCAAAAGCTTAAAATTAAAGACATGGATGATAACTGAAACACTGCTTATTCGTGGAATGAAGGTCAAAGTGATGAACCACAAAACAAGATTCAACAAAGAGCCAGGCAAAGAAAGCGAAAATACATCTGGTCTAAGTGGTCTTAAGAATGTTCTCTTTTTCACAGGTTGAAGTCAAAAACATAAAGGCGTAGAATTAGAATTCCACCTCAAGAGGTACTTTAGCCCTTTCAAGGGAAAGTTTCAAAATCCAAGTGGAGTATATAAGAAGTACAATAAGAAAAAGACAGAAATCGACATTCCCAATAGAAGTGGGACAACAATCTTCAGTCAAGAGAGAAATGTGCTCACTGGTAGTTTTACCCAGTTGGGAAGGTAAACCTAAAACTAGGGGATATATTTTTGGGGAAAAAGTGACAGCTGAAAAGATAACAGGTGTGAATTTTTGGGACATGGGAAGGTCAAAGGTGTCAAATCTCACATGCAGTTGTGGGACTAAAGCAAGAGATCAAGAAGAATGATAGAGGTGCAGTTATTTTACTAGTTTTACCTTGACAACATGTACGGCCATAACATACCTGCCAGAAGGAATTTTGTACCTATTGGAACAACTACCATCTCATCCAGTTTCTTACAACACTGAATTTTATTAGATGGAGTACAACCTTGACATGGATAACAACAGATCATGTTTGTTCGAAAGATGTTTTCTCTTTTGAAATAAAACAAAGATCAAATGACTTGTCAAAAAAGAAAAAATATATATTGTACTCCTATTCTACTAGACTTATGTGGTCATGAAATAAAAAAATGAAAAAAAAAAAACTAAAACAAATATACTGCCTAAATCTGACCAATTGTGGAATTTTGATAAATAAACCATCGCTAATAATTATTTCAACAAATAAGAATAAACTTTAGTAGAGACAAAATATAACCCCTATACCGCATTTTTCCTTGACTGATAAAAGTCCTTCTTACCCAATAGCAAAACATGCCTCATTTAAATTATATAGTGCCATATTTGAAAGAAATTATAATATTTACCAATAAGATTAATGTTACTCTTGACTGTATGCCCCTCAAAAATACGGCTTGGACTCTATCATAAACAATTTTCCAAACCAAGATGGAGAGAAATTCACATCACCACAAAAGAACTAAAATGAGGCCTCTTATACAACAGTTTAAACCAGACATTTGGAATACTTTTCTCTGACATAGGTATTTAAATCATCACGAACCTTTATGAGGGCTGCAGCATCTTCTTCTGCTGTGCCACCAATTTCACCAATAAGAACAATACCTGGCAAACAACAAGCACGTGTATTTAGATAGGATGTTCTTAATCTTCTTTCAAGATGGTGCATAGATCTTCTAACTTCTGGTATCACCTCATTCCCAATTCCGTACAAATGGACTATATATAGGTTAAAGGAAACATACAAGTCTGGGAAAAGCAGAAACATTTGTGAACCGAACAAATTTCAGTAAAGAGTAGAGAGTAATAAAGTAAAAAGTCTAAAGGTCCAACAACGATAATGACAAAAGGAAGAATCCATTTCTGGAGACGATGAATCTGATAAGAAACTGCAAACAGTTCTTTCTCTCGGTTGGACACTTGTGGAAGGTCACCAAGGTAAATGGTAAGAAATTTATGTTCTTCCCATTTTTTGGTGGCTTGGCAGGCTCATCTCCACTGATAGAAGCCCTTTAGCAAATTTTCTCCTACAAAGTCTTGTTGTTTACTACACTATTGCACTATGGCAGCAACAAATTTTAAGTAACTTAGAAATCTGATATTTCTTAAATAGATTATTATCTTATTGTTGTCTATCAATAAAAGTTCACCACACACACACACACACAGAAGAAATAAATGCCATTGTAATCATGTTTTACACTAAGCTTAGCTAAATTAATCCTTCAATAAGGTTTACCTTCCGTTTGTGGATCAGCAATAAATTTCTCTAAGCAATCAACAAAGTTTGTACCATTGAAAGGATCACCACCAATCCCTACACAGGTTGATTGCCCAAGGCCAACAGCAGTAGTTTGGAAAACCTAGAAATCACAGAACAATAAAAGAATAAATCAGAAAATCAGAAAAACCAAAAGAAAAAATTCACAACCGAACTTTAGTGTACAGCAAATATTAACATCAAGGACCACATATAAAGTAGATACTATTCCTCAGGATTCAGATCTGATCATTCCCGGTGCCATATTTTAAGAGAATATCTAATTTATATGAGACGCAGGAACCAGATTCAAGAAAAAACTTTTTGACTTCTATTATCTATATCTTCCCAACATTCAAGGTGTCGGCGTTGGGACGCATATACACATTCATAATTCAATGATGAGAACCTCAAATCTCATTAGTAAAAAAAACATAGAAAAGTAACAAATTGACCTGTGTATGGCTAACACATCACAACAGCATAATTGAGCCAGAAATTATATTTCAAGGATTGATTTTCTTCCTAGATATAGCAAGCCTATTAGCATTTCAAAAGATAAACTTCTAGGACCAATGTGGTGAAAGGGGAAAGCCATAGAAATGCAACAACAATAACAACAACAACATACCCAAGTAAAAGACAAAAAAGGTCTACAAACGTGGTGTTACGATGAACAGGTAGGGTTTTGAAAAAAGGAAATATGTAATGGAATCCTTTTTTCCCCGGATGTATTCAAGAGAATCTTCTAAGCTTCAAAATCTTTAGTGGCTCGTCATGAGTATGTAAAATTTAAACAAGTTCTATATACCACATGTTTCCAGAGAATAAATCTTACTGCTTCATATGTCAGTGTGCCAGATCGAGAAACAATTCCGATACGTCCTGGTTTGTGAATGTATCCAGGCATAATACCAATTTTGCACTCTCCTGGTTTTATGATACCTGGACAATTCGGACCAATCAGCCGAGTTCTTGATTGCTTCTTAAGAGCAGCTTTTACACGAACCTATATTGCATGGAAAAAAAACCAAACAAAGAAAACAAGCTAGTGAGAGAATAACAGAGTGAAAACAGAAAGGTGCAAGTTCACCTAACAAGCTTATCCCAATTGTAACATTTATTGAATCAACCCAAAAACAAAAGAAAGAAGCCCCCCCCGCAAAAAAACAGAAACAATTTATGATAACACAAAAAAAAAACTCATCTAGGGGATGATGACTTGCAATCAGCATAAGCTTATCATAGTTTTTCCTCTATTCCGTATCTTTTTGTTGGATCAAGCAGCTCACAACTAGAGTTCCAACCCATATAATAGTGCTAGTGCCTCAATTCAAGTTTATTATCATCCATTTAGGTCCCAAGTTTACTATTACAAAACTACCAAGAATGTGATACAATGAAGAAATAGTCTATAATGCACAGTTCTTGAGAAACCTTGTCCTATTCAGTTGTCATTTCCATCTTGATGCATTCATTACCTTAGAATGCAGTTTCCAGGCTACAAGATCTCAATATTGTTGACTCAAAACAAGCTTGTTGAAAAATAGCTGAAAGACTTATGTAACTATGTAAGCATAATATGGAAGATCCATTTCGAAATGCATATTATGAAAGATAAAAAAAACGCAGATCATGACTAAGGTTCAGCAGAATCCCTAGAAGATCTAATGATTGAAACTTCAATTATAAGATTACTCTCTCCTCAAGTTACTCATCCAAAGCTCAGATGGTTGTTTCAAATTGTCAAATCATTCAACGCAACAAAAGCAACAATTGACAGGGTTGACACTTAGATAGCATAAAACAAATATTACAAATGTCTTATGGCCAGGCCAACACATTTCTTTTTAAATCTTGAATGGGCATTCTAAGGCAAAATAATATTATAAAAATCTGGCCAAAACGTTCTTTTAGAAATTCTAAGGGACATTTAAAGGGCTTTAATCCCTTGCATCATTTCATTTTCTGCACAATGAAGAAAAATAGTGTGCTTGACTATGATAATAAATAAATACCAGGATCAAACAGTGGCCTTGGAAGATGATATGGGGGACAAAAATTCCATACAAGGTCAATTTTTTCACATGGCTGCTGACCAGAGAAGTAGTACCGACACAGGAAAACATGAAGAAGATGAAATACCAATTGTGTTCCAGGTGCTACTTATGTGAAGAACAAACAGAGACAGTCAACCATAAATGATTATATTTATGTGTCTCAGAGACAGGTGCTCCTTCTATTTCTTTTACGTGTCTTAGTTTGTTTGGGCACGAAATTTCAGAAGAGGTGTACAATTCTCTAACCTATAATAAGGGGGAAACGAGAAAATTCCAATAGAAGGGATTTGTATCTTACCATATCATGCTGAGGAATTCCCTCTGTGATGCAAACAATTAAGTCCAATTCAGCCTCCAATCCCTCCATAATAGCAGCTGCAGCAAAAGGAGGAGGTACATAGATCACCGAAGCATTAGCTTTCGTCTCTGCTTTTGCCTCTGCAACAGTGTTGAAGACAGGAAGACCCAAGTGTTCTGTTCCACCCTTCTTGGGTGTCACTCCACCAACCTATTTAACCAAATGAAAGTAATAATGAGAAACAGATATTATCTCTTTTCAGATGTCTATCATTATGCCCAAAGTAAAAAAGAGCAAATCCATAATAAAAACAAGAACAAAACTTCCCAAATCATTTTCATTAAAGAGTAGACTTTTTTCAATAGAAGCATATCATACACAAATTAGCATTTTCTTCATAGGATACAAATAGAGAAGGAACATAACAATAGAAATGAATGCAAATACTTGTTCAAATGAAATCAACCTGATGGCTGCAAATAGCAACAAACTCTAAAACATTTAGCAGCATTACTGGCAGTGACAATTTTAAGGAAAATTCGGAAAACAAAATATGAAGAGAAGACCTTGAAGACACAAGGAGTTCAAAACATCCAAAAAGAACCTTTTTGGGTAATGGTGTCATGTACGTTAGCTTGCCCACCTCAACTATACCAGCAGGTATCGCTATCTGACACATACCAGATATATTTTCCCCCAATACATAGATACGACAGATAGGAAAATATTACCAGCATTTTCTACCTCTACAAGGAATTGAAGTTTAGTTTCTCATGATTTTCACCCACCTCATTGGCCACAAGGACATACCGTTGGGTGCACATCATACAAAGACTTTTGACATGAGTATTAGCAAAAGAACTATTATACTAACATATGCAATAACTATAAAAAGCAGACATATAGGGAAAAAATACCAGCATTTTCTACCACTACCAGAAATGAAGCCTAGTTTCTCGTGATTTTCACCCACCTGATTGACCACACAATGACATACCGTTGGGTGCACATCATACAATGAGTTTTTTGACATGAGTATGAGCAAAACAACTATTATGCCAACATATGCAGTAACTATAAATGAAGCAAAGCACGCATACCACTGTTATCAACCAAAAACAAAAAAATACAGCCTAGCCTAACACAAGCATTAGTAGTTATTCCACCTCTCAAACTCATGACATATAGATCACACAGTGACAACTTTTCCATTGCACCTAGGCTTCCCTTACAGTCAAACTATAAATGATAATTATATTAAATTTTGACGTATTGTACTTATTTGTGCATCCTTCTAAAATTTTGGATCCACATCTATTACCAAGAAAAAAGCATCACTTACCATTTTGGTGCCATACTCGATGGCCTGCTCGGTATGGAAGGTACCGTTCTTCCCCGTAATGCCTTGACAGATGACACGTGTGTTCTTATCAACGAACACAGCCGGCTGAGGCGGTGCCGATCCAAACAACCTGTTCTGAGCAGCGAATGTTGGATTGCTAGAACTCAGCTTTGTTGACAGATTTACGATCAGTTTGGTCGCTTGGCGAGCCATTTGATCGATGATTTTCCTATATCTCTACTAAATCCTCTCTATTTCTCGGCGACTTACAGAGGATTTTCCGGTGGCGTTCGGTTTGTAATGTAAAAGCTTGAGAGCGGCAAAAGTAAGAGGAAAAGTCTTCTGAATCGGAAAAGTATGAAAGGGCGAGCGAGGAATGTTCGTCGGATTCGGGGCGGAAGTGATGGGTCACATTTCAAATCGGGTCATGCATTCGGATCAACCCAAAATTGGGGAGGGTATAAATCATCGAAAATCGAACTATCACCAACAAGGATTGTGGAGTGGTAAGTACTCTGTCATCCTTGACCAGGAGGTCTCGGGGAAAAAAAGGACTCCACGGCTCCAATGTGGGACTACAGGACACCGGGTGGGAAATAAAAAAAAAAAGATTTCCTAGCACAAATTCAAATTTAGTCGGGCTCCAATGTGAGTAACGAACACCGAATGAAAAATTAAAAAATAAAATCAAATTATTGAATCGAGATTTATTTCATTTCAAACTAGCATAATACATAAACATGTCATTTAACTTCACATATGCATTTAATAAATATTTAGAGATTTATTTCATTTCAAACTAGCATAATACATAAACGTCACATTTAACTTCGCCTATGCATTTAATAAATGTGTTAGGAGTATTTAATTTGGTTTCAATATAAGATGGAATTAATGTACATCAAATTTTTGTGGGGAATATTTTGCTCTTACCAAATTTGGAGAGTAGTTTTTCAAAATTTGTTGACTTAATTATGGTTATAATATTTGTTAATGTAATTTTAACCTTTAAAAATTAAATAGGACACATGTCTCTGTATACTTGATAGAATGGAGGGGAGTCAAATCCGAAATTGCGAAATTCTTTTGGATTTTGGAATCTCCAGCGATCGAGCGGGCGGAGATGGTTGTAGGCCCGTCGGAGAAGGTGGTGTACCATCTGAATGAGGCAAGCAATTGGTGGGAACTATTTTATTTTTTAAGATCAAGTATAAGATATGTGGATCGATTTAACTTATTAGCTTATTGTTAAGCAAATAGTATATATAGTTAAATAAGCGTAATTGAAAATGAAAATATAAAAATATAAATTAATGACATAATAATGCTTGATTTTAACTCAACGGAGCTAACTTCGTGCAACAAATTCCGAAATCGAATACATATTTGTGTTCTTGAGAGCTAAGTATATTACTTAGTATTGCCAAAAATTAATCTTTTACGAGTGAATAATATTACAATTTATAGATTAAAAAAAATACATCAATCAATGAATACGCTCTATTCGAGCTACGCTGCTTAATGAAGACGTTCCACCTGGAAATATCATTACGTGTGCTAGCTATATATTATTATCTTGTTATTAGCAGAGGCGTATCCAGGAGGGGGTCACCGGGTTCACGTGAACCCATGCTCCCCAGTAGTGTTATATTTTTTTAAAATATTAAATTATAGATATGTGAACCCACACTTGAAGTATTATACCATGCGATTATGTTGGGTGCACCTCTCTAAGTGAGGTTAGAAATTTGAATATTTTAGTTATCTTGTTTTATTTTCCTTTTTAAAATTGAGTAATGTCTCTCTAAGTGGTTTGGATAGGTAAAAATAACTTTGGACCTATAATTTTAAAATTTTAATTATTTTTAGTGATAAGAACCTAAATGTTAAATCAATTAAATTTATATCTTAGATCCACCTTTTTATAATAGTGCACCCATCATCTCAAAATCCTGGATACACCTCTGGTTATTAGCTAGCGAGATATTGTATATTGGACTTGGTTGATATGTATATCCTTTTAATACGACTTTGAGCCACGGGTCCTTTTCTTCCTCTTTTATGACTTCGGACACGAGTTCTCACTTTTTTCTCTAACAACAATTATTGGAGTGATCAACAATAAGACAAAAGCAAATAAATTGGACAAGTTTAATTCATCTTGATTTTATAGTAAAAGTTCAAATTTTATTTTTTTTATCTTCATACTTGCCATCTTCATAGGAGGAAATATCTGATTGTGGATCTTCTTAATGTTTCAACATAAAAGCAAGAGATGATCAGTTTATAAATTTCTAATTTGAATGATATGTGAACATTAATGAAGCAAATAGAAAACAAAAATGCAGCTACAGACCATCAAATAAGAAACTAACAGACTACTTTTGATGACAAAAAAAAAACTGATATTCTAATCCATATGATAAAACTGAACCTACAAACAAAAGCTAAATGTTGATCACAAAAAACTACTTAATACATTTTAGAATAGTCTCTTCCAAATAGGGTGTTGCATCCACACTCTTTCGACCATGGAATCAATCGGAACTCCCTTCGTTTCAGGCAAGAAGAAGTAGACGAATAATCCCATGACAACGATCCATCCAGAGAAAAAGAAGAAAATGTAGGCTTTCATAGTGCAAAGCATAGTTAAGAAAAGTTGTGCAATGATAGAAGTGAAGAGCATGTTTGTGCTGACCGCGAATGCAAAACCAGTTGTCCTTGTTTCCAATGGAAATGTCTCACTAGGAATTAACCAACCAAGAGGTCCCCATGACCACGCGAACGACATTACATACGTACACACGAGCAGCACCACTACTGCTGCAAGTGTCCTGTTCAACGTTCCTGTCTCCGATAAACTTGTCACCAAAATTGCTCCGATTGCCAACTGAGAAATTAACATCTGACAACAAGCTTGAAGGAGCAATTTTCTCCTTCCAACCTTGTCAACAAGGTAGATCGAAACGAATGTGCTGCCAACATTAACAATTCCGGTAATGATAGAGGATAGAAGCGAGGCATTGGCCTTGAATCCCATAGTCTGAAACAGAACAGGCGCATAAAACATAATGGCGTTGATTCCAGTAAATTGCTGAAAGATTTGCAACAACACACCAATCACAAGAGGCGGAATGCTAGCAGGCTTCAGTAAGTTCTTCAACGAATGCTGCTTAACTTGCTTGGCTTGTTCACACGCTGCCATGATTTCTTTGTACTCAGCCTCAACATCACTGACACCCCTAATCTTCATGAGCGTGGACTTCCCCTGTTCCTCATTACCACGCTCAACTAGACTCGTAGGGGTGTCAGTGATCACAAAACTACCAATAAACAGAATCACCGCGGGAATAGCTGCAAATCCAAGTGACATTCTCCAACCATTTGGATGTATCATTGAAGTTCCATAGTTAACAAGATTTGCTATGAATATTCCTATAGTCACAAATAATTGAAACATGATATTCACAGCTCCTCTGTGCTGGATTGGTGCAACTTCAGTTAAAAACAACGGAACAGTCTCGTTTCCGAATCCAACACCAATACCAAACAAAATTCTACCAAAAATAAGCATCAACTTGTTCTCCGCGACAGCTCTCAATACATAGAGGCGTATTCAGGATTTTGAGATGATGGGTGCACTATTACAAAAAAGTGAATCTAAGATATAAATTTAATCGATTTAACATTTAGATTTTTATCACTAAAAATAATTAAAATTTTAAAATTATAGGTCCAAAGTTATTTTTACCTATCCAAACCACTTAGAGAGACATTGCCCAAATTTAAAAAGAAAAATAAAACAAGATAACTAAAAGATTCAAATTTCTAACCTCACTTAGAGAGATGCACCAAACATAATCGCATAGTATAATACTTTAAGTGTGGGTTCACATATCTATATTTAAATATTTTTAAAAAATATAACACTACTATATATGATTTCAGGAGGGGAGCATGGGTTCACGTGAACCCGGTGACCCCCTCCTGGATACGCCTCTGTCAATACAGCTCCAACAATGAAAAAGATTGACGCAGTCAAAATAGTTATCTTTCTTCCTAATTTAGTAGCGGCTTTTGAAGCAAAAAAACTCGCGAAAAGAGCGGATATGTATAAGGATGAAGTGAAGAGTTGGAGAAGCCAATTATCATATTTGCAATAGTTATTTTCTTTAGCATGTAACTTTGTTTGATAAACATGTGGGAAGAATTTAATCAAGAAATCATCCATAGCAGAAACTCCACCAGAAATACCAATATCGTAACCAAACATCAATCCACCAAAAGCAGCAAAAATCCAACAAGATACCACGTATACTGTGATCTTAGAATTATTCATTCTAACGTTCAGCATTTTCGCAATGAAAAACTTTTTTTCCTGAAGAAAGATATTTTATTTATAAAGTTATGAACTCTCTACTATTTGTTAATAGAAAATAGCCACCAAACTACGTTTATTTATAATGGTATAAGACCTAATTTAGGTAGGATTAGAAATTGTAATCCTATATTATTTAGACTAAAGTTTTATTTAGTCGATTCTTTTTCCTAAAGTTTTATACATTTAGCACAATATTACCGCTATAAACATCATTGTTTCAATTGGAATCCTAGGAAGATAAGGAAACTATTTAGGTAATTTTTTTTAGGAAAGGTGTGATATTATTTCAATTCCTATTTTCTTGTAATTTTATTTGAATCTATTGAAATTTTCTCTTTATTTTTTGCTTATATTTTTTTGTGTCTTTTGATAACTAGACGTGTGTATAGGCCTAAATAGTCATGATCTTTAAATTAAGACCCTTGATTTTAAGTGTTAATGACATTCGTAGATATAATTTCAAAACGAAAAGGAATATAAGTAAAGTGATCACGATCTAGACTGAGATATAAGTAGTTATTATTGTTGTATTGAGTCATGATGTGCAAAGCCTCGTTTTGAAATATGGTTTTGATTCCCGCTTTAGGGTTCAAAAGTTGACATTCTTTACTTGAGTTGGTGGTTAAAAACATACTTAAAATATCTGATTTTTGAGTTTCATATCTGATTTATCACCAACACTATTTATCAAAAACATGCATCAACTATAAGTTGTTCCATTTTCCTAGTGTTTTTGGGAACAGTTGATGTATATATAATTTGATAAATAGTTGAGATTAGAAACTCGTATACCTAATAGTACTAGAATTTTCTTGTAGATATTCTAGAGTAGAAGATAAAATAACTAGAATTTTCTTGTAGATATTCTAGAGATAATAATATTTGTAAAAAAAATCATAGAATAGTCTAGATCTTGTAATATTCTATAACCATCCATAGATGAGTATAAATAGGGGGATGGTCTTGTACGTTTGTATTCTACCCAAATCGAAAAGTTTTCTTTTCTCTTATCCAAAATGCCCATCCTCTTCTTTAATTGACTCTTTCGATCTTAATTAACGATCTTGAA